ATGACCTCGCCGATCCAGACACAACAGGTAAACGATTTACCTCGGAAAGAGATGGATAGTCCCAAAGATGAAAGACAAACACGTTTAATAGGGGACTCTATGTGTTGGAAGTGTAAAAAACAACTATCGGAACAGCCAATAGGTGGGCTGGTTAGCGGTGGGAAATTGAGGAAAGACTGATAGAGAAAGAAAGTTTTCTAAGAAAAAAAGGAAGCGTCGAAACCTATAGTAGGTATAGGTATAAGCAGAGAAACCGATGGGTAGACTGCGACCAACTGTACTACTTTGTGAAGTTACTGTCAAAATACCCCTTTAGGCGGTTTTTTATTTGCAGGTTACGACTGGCAAAACATTAGCTAAAAGGCTAAGAGAGACTCGAAAAGACAGTGCGCAGAGCCTAAGTCGAAAGTGAAAGGGCCCAACAAGCAGCCAGCCAGCAGTGGACGGTGAGTTAGTCTACGGTTTGGTCCCAAATCCTAAATTGGGTGGAGGGTGAAGGGTAATGCGTTCCTAGCTGCATGAGATCGCTATCGAAGCTAATCTGTACCGTGTGGGCGCTTTAGACTTAGACCTTGTTCCCGTTTTATGGCAGGATATTTTGACCGTACTTATAATGTTATATTATCAAGAAACAGTTACCCCTGACTGCTGGTGAATACGTCAAATGACTCCTTATAAATATTAAAGTAGTAAAATTATAATTAGGACTACCTATATTCCCTCTTATGTATCGGTTTGTAACATGATTATATGATTAATATATTACAAGCCAAAAACAAACAGTAATTGTACAATTTGAAATAAATTATAAAATATCTAGTAAGTATTATTTAAATATTACGATAAATTGGTAATTTATTTTGTATAATTGCAAAAACGGTACATTTTTACTTTTACAACCCTGTAAATATTTTACATAAGGAAATGTATTTTCAACGAAAGTTCTCCCACATTTTACAATATTCGTGAACATGACTCATTTTCCGATTGTCATGGTCTCCCACATCCTTTATGAGTCATTTCAATTAGAGACACAGGCTATAGTTTTGAGGAATCGAAGCAGAACACCTAGATTTTGCTCCATATATCACTAACGTAGCCATGGGCACATAACGTTTACCGGATTAAGGACCGTGATGATATTGGTACCCAGAGTTATCGGCACGTGCGATTTCAGAGAGGTTAAGGCATCTCCGCACTAACTTATTATATACGAGCCATTCCACTACTAG